TGGGAAAAATGTGGTGCATGGTAACGAACCACCACCTTACAATTAAGTAAACAAGGAATTTTGGGGGACACGATTATGTTACCAAATCCTTTTCGGCAGGTTTTGAAGTTATGGTGTGGCTGGTTGTCTCAGTTAACTCTATGGCTTTCACACACCTTTTGGACAATGATGCATGCTGCAGCGTTAGAGCGTTAGAGGACGTGCGCCTCCGTGGCCAGCCTCGCACCTCACACACCTCCCCATTTATTAATATTATATAACCCAAATGGGGTATGGTGGAAAACCAAGGGAAACGGGGACCCGCAAGGGACCCGCAGGCACGTTTTGCGTGGGAAACGAGGGACCCGCGAGGGACCGGCAGGGACCCGCGCACGGTTTTTGTGGGAAAAATGTGGTGCATGGTAACGAACCACCACCTTACAATTAAGTAAACAAGGAATTTTGGGGGACACGATTATGTTACCAAATCCTTTTCGGCAGGTTTTGAAGTTATGGTGTGGCTGGTTGTCTCAGTTAACTCTATGGCTTTCACACACCTTTTGGACAATGATGCATGCTGCAGCGTTAGAGCGTTAGAGGACGTGCGCCTCCGTGGCCAGCCTCGCACCTCACACACCTCCCCATTTATTAATATTATATAACCCAAATGGGGTATGGTGGAAAACCAAGGGAAACGGGGACCCGCAAGGGACCCGCAGGCACGTTTTGCGTGGGAAACGAGGGACCCGCGAGGGACCGGCAGGGACCCGCGCACGGTTTTTGTGGGAAAAATGTGGTGCATGGTAACGAACCACCACCTTACAATTAAGTAAACAAGGAATTTTGGGGGACACGATTATGTTACCAAATCCTTTTCGGCAGGTTTTGAAGTTATGGTGTGGCTGGTTGTCTCAGTTAACTCTATGGCTTTCACACACCTTTTGGACAATGATGCATGCTGCAGCGTTAGAGCGTTTTAGGACGTGCGCCTCCGTGGCCAGCCTCGCACCTCACACACCTCCCCATTTATTAATATTATATAACCCAAATGGGGTATGGTGGAAAACCAAGGGAAACGGGGACCCGCAAGGGACCCGCAGGCACGTTTTGCGTGGGAAACGAGGGACCCGCGAGGGACCGGCAGGGACCCGCGCACGGTTCTTGTGGGAAAAATGTGGTGCATGGTAACGAACCACCACCTTACAATTAAGTAAACAAGGAATTTTGGGGGACACGATTATGTTACCAAATCCTTTTCGGCAGGTTTTGAAGTTATGGTGTGGCTGGTTGTCTCAGTTAACTCTATGGCTTTCACACACCTTTTGGACAATGATGCATGCTGCAGCGTTAACTTTTGAGGAAAAAAATTTCTGAAAACGACGAATCCGATTCCGAAAAACGATGATTTCGAAGGTACTAAAAACATTTCTTCCAACTGGAATCCGAATTCCTTTCTGAAATATTTTTTCAAAATCTAAAAAAAAACTTCGGGAGAGAAGTATCCTAAAGCACTTAATATCCCGAGTCCCCTCGGCTTCAAATACCGTCCCAGTATTGGGGAATCGTATTTGAAGCCCTATTGAAGCCGGCTTCAAACTGGCTTCAAATACCGTCCCAGTATTGGATCACCGTGAAATAGAGTACGGCACCAGTTTAAGTAAATTGGTGACGTGGACCCCTTATACGAAATAACACAGCCCAGTATTGGGGAATCGTATGTGAAGCCATATTGAAGCCGGCTTCAAATTGGCTTCAAATACCGTCCCAGTGGATCACTGTGAAATAGAGTACGGCACCAGTTTAAGTAAATTGGTGACGTGGACCCCTTATACGAAATAACACAGCCTAAAGTGATGGTAATACTGCAACTTGGGGCAGGCCGCGAACTATAAATATCCGGAGTCCCCTCGGCTTCAAATACCGTCCCAGTATTGGGGAATCGTATTTGAATTGAAGCCTGCTTCAAACTGGCTTCAGATACAGTCGCAGTATTGGTGAAGCTATTGATGCCGGCTTCAGGGGAGTATTTGAAGCCCTATTGAAGCCGGCTTCAAAATGGGCTTCAAATACCGTCCCAGTATTGGGGAAGCTATTGAAGCCGGCTTCATGGGAAGTGATGGTAATACTGGGACTTGGGGCAGGCCGCGAACTAAATTTCTGCTGGTGGCATCCTGAGGCCAGCGGCTGACCCATGACGATTCCTCATGGTTACCCGTCTATCTAGAATTTTAAATATCCCGAGTCCCCTCGGCTTCAAATACCGTCCCAGTATTGGGGAATCGTATTTGAAGCCCTATTGAAGCCGGCTTCAAACTGAATGCTCCCCTGAAGCCGGCATCAATAGCTTCACCAATACTGCGACTGTATCTGAAGCCAGTTTGAAGCAGGCTTAGCTTCAAGGCGGTTGTTCAACGGCCGGGCGGGCTTTCGAGAGAGCCCTGAATTCAAAACCCCCGGAAGCAAAAGCACGAGGCAAGCAGGCTTCCGATCCCCCCTCCCCCCAAGCTGCAAACGTGGCACAGGCCGAAGCCCACCGGCATTGAACAAAAAGAAAAAGGCTGTGAAGCCCGAGAGCCCCAGCGGACCTCCTGAGCCCTGGAGGGAAAAGGCCCACCTTAAACAAAGGCCCCAAAGTCGTGTGCCATGAGCCCAAAAGTGTGGAGGTTGAGGATGCTCCATGTGTCTCCAGTGGGACGCCGGGGACTGAGGTCTCAGCAAATAAGAGTCGCTATCAAGCTCTGTTACCGTCGACCTTGGATTTGTGATAGGATCACCCACTTGTCCAGCATTGGTTCAGGCATGCTTGGCTGTGCCATTTGGCTTCATGCTTGGCTTAAGTGCGGTTGGATGACTTGACTTTCAGGTCCTCGTAGATCCTCAATGATCAAGTATCATGTTCAATTCCTTCGGATCCCAGAGCTTGGCAGTGCTATCTGAAGCTTGTGGGTTCAGAGGGCTTCATGTAGAACTCCTTCAATTGGGTCAGGAGTGAGGGGCAAAGGACGAGCTTGCCAGGCCTTCAGATGCGGTTGTGGTCCTGTGGTCACCGAGTGTACCTTTAGTACAGTGAGTGTTGCTGTTTTGAAGGTTCAGCAGAGCACCGAATTCAGGAGCGTTTTCATTTGCCTCATCATTAGTCATCGCCACCGAAGCTGTTACATCATCTTCTTCTTCTTCCTCATGATCATCAGCATCACCGTTACCATCACAACCATCATCATCTGCATTACCGTCACGGTTGCAGTCATGGTCGTCATCATCAGCATCAACACCATCATCGCCGTCATCAACAATGGCAGCATCTTCCTTGGTATCGAACGCCAGCATCATCGTCAACATCGGTGGATGGGGTGGACGAGCTTAAGGAGCAGTAGCACGGCGGCAGCAGCAGCAGCCGCCGCCTGCGCGACCACATCAACAAGAAGAGTGGCAACGGTAACCGCGGCACCAGTAACAGCAACAAAACGCAACAGCCACAAAACGCAGCAGCAACACAACGCGGCAGCAGCAGGAGCAGCAGCAGCACTACCACCACAAGCAGAACCGCCACTACCACCAGCATCACTAGCAACACAGACTCTAGCGCAGACAACTTTAAAGCCAAAGCCACTGCACTCAACAGCAGAGCTCGGTTTGTAAAAACTGGTACACAGAAGACGATGGTAGCGGTGATGACTGTAATTGCTCTTTGCTGCAGCATGGTTGGGGTAACAGCATGTCTAATGATCTCTTGGTGGCTTTAAGCGGCATTGACACTTACCTGCAACCTGGATTTGGTAGAGTGCCAGCAATCATCATCCACATCATGATGCTGCTTCCTGCTTCAGTAAATCACCATCGGATTCACCATCCCCCCCACATCACAAATTGCATCATGATTCTGTATTCTTTCGTAATGCTGAATACGATGCACAAAGAGGGTCAGGAAATTCATTCTGCCGCGCCGATACACGAAGCCGCAAGTTTCCAAGGGGATCGACTTCAATCTACGGCTGCTGTGCTGCTCGCTGCGCCTCACCGCTGTGCTGTACAAAGCTTCTCTCCAGCCAGCCTCGTGGCTGGCCTGTGTTTCGAAGTCGGGGATACGGACTGTCCGATTGAGCCACGATGCTAATTCTTTCAGTGTGGATGCTAGAACCCCTGCTCATATCTCTGCCCACGTGTGTATACATGGATATGCACAATGTATGTTTAGGTATAGGTCCTTGGGTCATCTCATATTATATATACAGGCCTTTTTCCGACATGCACCTGGGCACATAGTCCCACCATTGCGTTAGCACCCAGTATCCCGAAGGTGCGCTCCACGTCGAGTTCTTTTGGGGTTTACTTTTTGTTAAGCTGAGTGATCAGGTGTTGTGTGTCAGCCCCATGCTGAGATTAATTAGTGTCGACATCCGAGTTGACGTCTGTCCACACCACTGCTGATCTGAGAGCAGTTTCTTAACAAGGGAGCTTGATTGACTTGAGTGCCGCACCGGGGATGCCCAGCTCCTGGACCTGGACGTCTCTGAAGCACCGGGAGGAGAGTGACACGTACTAAACTATTGTGGACGTTTTGCTTTCGAAGAAGTGTGCGTAGATGTGGCACTTGAAGGCTTTCTCGCGTTCTCACATCGATCAGTTTCACAGACAAGAGAAAACGCAAGCCTCCTCGAGTACCAATGTGCTGGGGGATACGGCCAGAGCACACAATTACAGCTTTGCTACAGTTCATGTGTCAGAACCGTTGCCTAAGGGGTGCCTTTGTCGGGCACAAAGTTGGCGTGTCCTGTGCAGCCACTGGGCTCACCGAATTGGAAGTTCAAGTTTGGATTGCTTGACAACATCCAATTCAATTGAAGCATGGTCTTTGTCAGACAGTTTCGTTGCAGAACGAGGCTCATGCCAGACAGGTAGGGTCAGGTTCGTCAGGGAATGTTCCTTGACATTCGCGGCTGGCCCTGTTAGGCTGTAAGACACCATGCCAGGGAGGCTTGAAGCGTGCACAGTGTTGACGCAACTCTTTTGCGACAGCAATCATGGGCAGCTGCGAAAGTTTGATGGCGGACGAGGAGGACATGAATCTGGAAGCCGTGCAGCATAGAATGATGTTTCTCTATTCTCGATGTGCTAGGGAAGTGTGGGACATCCAGTTGAACGGCCCGAAGGATGTGACTCAGCCTATGGAGTTTCATCGTTCCTTCCAATTTCGCCTTTTTTGTCGCAACGTGCTCGTCAGGCCTCAGCGAGCCATGCGAGCCCGTTGATGTGATGCAGGACTCTCAGATTTCATGATTCGTCAGGCCAAGAATAGCTTGTTTTTGACTTCGGTCCTCGCTTGATGGTTTCCTGCTTTTGAGCTGCAGGGTCGCGCTTCCAAAGCTTCCACAATCGGCAGAGGATCCACAGGCAGTCGCACGAGTGCACATGTTGCCTGAGTAGCTGCATATCGTGCTTGGGCCGTGTCGGGAGGAAGCGCCAACACCAACGTTGACAGCGAAGGCACGCATTTCGAGATGATGGGACCGACGCATGCAACAGGTGAATGCGTATCGACCTGTTTATGAAAATCATGAAAGGCGAACCTGCAGCTCAAGATGAAGCAGTGGGCGTGGCTGTCTCGATTACTGTTCAAATCATTCGCTGACCACAAAGAAAGTGTCCGGTCTGAGGACGTTCGCTCCCAATGTCCAGCTTTTGTTTCTTGGCAAGGTGGGGATCCGACTGCTATTTAGTTTTGCAAGCCGAGCCCCTGCCAGTTGGCCTGGGATTTGGCCGAAAAACTGGATGAAGTGCAGGACCAGAAGCAACAGCAACTGGACTTATTTTTGGCAGCTGTGTTCCCGCAAGAAGACCACAAGCCCATGTTCTTCCAGCATTGCTAGAGTCCATGTAAAGCTGAGGCAATGGAAGGATGAGGCCAATGGTCTGCCATTTGTCAAAGTCTTTGGGAACCCGAAACATTGTATGGATCCGGATGTACCCGGTATGCGTCACAATGCGCCGTGTCATGCCGTGAGTGCGTCGTGGCACGACACGAAAAGAGCGTAACGACGGATGTGACACTTCGGCAGGCCCAGCCGCAAGAGGGCGTCTGGGAAGTCGTGCCGGTGGCGCCGCCGGTGTTCTGTCATGCACCAGTCGTGTTTTCAGCACAGCTCCGCAAATCCTGGAAACTCCGGAGAAGCTGGGGGGGGACGGGGGGCATACGATCGATCACATGGTGGCACTGTGGCTGTGAGCCTGTGAGTTCGTTGCGACGGGAAGCTGCCGGAGGCTGCACGCGCAAACTTCACGAAGCCCGAGGCCGAGGCGGGGAAACTAAGCTTGAAGGTGGTGCTTCAGGCTGCAGCATGTATCAGCCAACCTATTCCGGGGGTTGTGAGCCGTGGGGCCGTGGGAGCTGTGAGTTGATCGGCGGGTTGCGAGGCGACGGACACTGCGGAAGTTGCCGAGCTCTTGGCGGAAGGGATCGAATCAGGTCCCTTCGCTGAAGACGATGTCTCTGGGCGCCCAAGTTGCAAAGCAGTTGGTTGCTGTCATAAATATATTTGAGGCATCTTGATATGGAGAGCCTGTACATTCCAGGTTGTGTAACACATGCACGGTCACGGGCGTGCTAGAGTGTGGTTGTTGAGGTCCCGTTTGGATCCCGACATTGCCGTTTGCCCAGACCCGGGCAGCGAATTGCAGGACAAGGCGGAGGCGCAGCTCAGGGTCATACTGCAATATGGCGGCGTGCATTGTTTGGATGGCCGCAGTTCGCGGCTCGAATCCGAACATTGCTTGCATGCATGCGTGTAGCTGCTGTAGAGAAAATACATTGACTCCGGCGACCCCACTTGTAGGTCGAGGTTGTTTGGGCACTTGTGCTAAAGTGTTGCTACTTTGCTGATTTGGGCTCGCGCTCCCCTTGCTCTTGCTTTGGGACGCATCGCCTCGAGTTTGAACACAACATTGGGTTGGGGTAAGAAGCATCCAGCACAAGTGGTGCAGGACATGCCCTATCTTGGTTGCGTGGTCGGCTTTCTTGCCGACATCTTGCCTTTCGGCTTGGCGGCTCCGCGCCAGGTCGGCGAGGAATATGGGAAGTGGATGCCACAGAAGCAAAACAGCCTCATGAGCATGCCTTATACTCAGCTGCGTGCATGTTTGCGCAGGATTCTGCCAAAGATTGGGCACAGTTGCTGGCCTTGCCGCTCGGCAAGAGCTTTGAAGATGCTGTTGACGTCCAGCTGTGCGTTACAGAAAAAGCACAGGTCCAACAATCTTGATTTGCTCCGCGCGCCTTGGCATTCACCAGTCCTTCGCCGTGAGCCGTCAGTGATGACATGTAGACATTATTGTCGCGGACATGTGCACCGAACTTGCGAAGCCTGTGAGTTCCAGTCGGTTCAACGCTGTAAGGCGCCAGACATCATAAGCCTTTGCGCAACGTGCAAGCGGAGTTGGGACAGTTGGGATCCGAAGGCGGGAGCATTCATATCCTCAGCACAAGAAAATGAACTGTCAGCAGCATCAAATATTCAGTTTGCCAAGCAGCCACTAGTTGGCAGCTCACAGCTAGTATCATGGACGCTGCAACATCTTTGTTGCAGGGCGCTGCTCCTCACTGGCAGCCTGAAATCACGAAGGCCTGTTTGAAAGCATCCCAGGCGTCTGCTGGCAATATTTAACATACTTAAGCAGGGTTTTGGCCTGATGCGGGTAGACCTGATTGCGTGCGTGATGTGCTGACTCAAGCCGACACCCTGTGTCCATTCCCAGGCAACCTGCCATGGCGTGCGCTGGGAGGGAGGGAGAAGGAGAAGAGAAGATTAACGAGGATGTGCTTGTGTACGTCGCGCCGAAAACTGCAAAGCAGGCACTTCAGCAGGTCGCTGCAGCTGAGGGTGCGACATATCACTTCAGCTTAGCGGAGCGGAATTGTGGAAATTGCACTGAACATACTGGCACGCTCCTCTATTTCAAGAGGTGCCGTGCTGCTTTTACAGGAAGGCCCCAGTCTACGAAGAAGGCCGCTGAAAACGCAGCAGCAGTAGCCTTCCTGGCCACGCCAACAGCTAGGCAGGCCTTTGAGATGTCGCAGGAGCGGAAGAGTGGCATGAAAATGGGATTTGTGGACAATGTGAGGGCTGCTGAAGGACGTCCGACCCTGACCGCGCAACGTGGCAAGGATGGACCGATGGAGAAACGACGGCCGGCCATCCAGTGACGCGAGATATCCTTTAAACATAGTCATGTATGATGTTGGAAAATGTTGGAAGTTTCGGTTACATCCTTAGTGCAGCTGGTACGCGTAGCAAGTCAGCAGTTGAAAGAAGAAGCTGCTGCAGGAGAGCATTGGGTGCCACACCTTCGAAGTTGCGTGCTAGCTAAAGTGTTTAAAGAGCCAATGCCGCTGCGGCTGCCCTGGGCCACACCTTGTTTTCGGACCTTTAATTCGATGACCCTGTGCCCCAAAGCTTGTGGACTCATATGCTTCCCTGCAGTGTTGCTTGCAGCCATTCGGGTGGCAAGAAAAGGGTGCAAAACGCCAACATCCCCCAACCTCAAAGTCTGAAACCCTAGAAGAAATGAAAACACAAACCCAAAAGCTGAAATCCAAACCTTAATCCCCAAAACCGTTGTGAACCCCTAAATCCCAACACCCCAAACCCAAACCCAAACCCACACAGCCTAAACAAGCATCAAGCCCAAGGCCTGAACTTCAAACACTAAACCCCTAAACCCAAAGCCCCTGAACCCCCCATGGCCCAAGCCCCAAACCCAAACCCTAAAAGCCTGAGCCAAAAAAATGAAAAGCCCAAGCCCCATTAAACCGAAAATCTAAACCCCTAAACCCAAAGCCCCTGAACCCCCCATGGCCCAAGCCCCAAACCCAAACCCTAAAAGCCTGAGCCAAAAAAATGAAAAGCCCAAGCCCCATTAAACCGAAAATCTAAAGTCCCTAAACCCCTTCAACCAAAACCCCTATACGCCTAAACCCACCAGCCCCAAGACCCAAACAGCCCTAAATCGCAAGACCCCTAGACCCTAAAGCCCGAAACCCAAAGCCCCTAAACCCTAAACCCAAAGCAAGAAAACATACCTTGTGGTTCTTTTTCTGACTGCTGCAGTGACAGTGACAGGTGAAGTTGGCAGAGAAAAGGAGGCTGTGGGCGGGTGCGTTGTGCTGGTTCGCTGGCACATCGCTATGCCTACGCCGAACGGTGTTAAAACCTACATGCCAAAGGTTTTAGTCCATCAAGTCTCAGCATTTGCTATCGCTAGCGAAGATGTTTTCAATTTGCTGGGCATCTGACGTGAGCTGAGACGTAGTCTTGCGGGTTCTGTTCAGGCAGCATGCATGGACTGCATGGAGCAGCTCAACGTCATCCGGTGGGACAGAATATGACAAAATCATTGCTTTTCCTTCCGTTCTTGGCCATGGAGTGACCGAACGCAATTTTGCTGCAGGACTGCCAACGGACCAGAGCAGAGGAGTTGCATCCTTCCGCGCGTGAGAAGCTAGAGGACCTTGTTGAATGTCGCGGATGGGTCTGGACACGGCCCACGCCGTGCAACCAGTCGTTTGTTAGCAGGCGCTTCTCATCCGCTGGTGCTGGCAGAGCAAGACCAAGTATTCGCAAGGCCTAAACGAGGTGCCATGCATGAAGCGGATCACCTAGAAGTCCTTTTCACGCTCAACAAAGCCATATTTGCAAGGTGCTAGCGCCCTTTGTTTGGGAGTCCTGCTGCGACGGTTCTCACCACGGTGGGGATGATGATGAGGCTTGCATGTGACGGTGAGCCACGGTGGCGTAAGCCACATGCATGTCGCTCACATGGTGCAGGTGTTTGACCGTTTCTGGAGCTTTTCGTGCAAGTTTACACCGCCGCCCAGCTCATGTGTGTGTGTGTGTGAGAGAGAGTTACCGTGAACGCGGCGCCCATGCCTAGGTTCTTCTTTTATCATGATATGGCACAGCTCCTTGCATGCACTTTCGGGGTTCAAGACAGGCCTGTGCTGGAAATTGCCGCGGTGGATCAGTTCAATATCACTTGCTAGGTCCATGCAAAACGCTGCTGCTCTTCTCGGTCATTTGCTGCGTCATCACCGCCGTCTCCTCAAAGACTGAATTCAACACGAAGACTGCCTCCAACGCAATCAATATCCAGCTCGTCTTGAGTTCTGTTTGGCTTGCAGCTTTAGCGGTGATTGTTCATTGCCCTGGCGGTGGGATTCCGGCAATGGGCAATGCTGTCATCAGTAATGGGCAGCTGGTTTCAAGGAAGGACGTGCGTTGTGAACTCCGTGATGCCGTATGCTTCCGCGACCTTGAGTGCAAAACCATGCATCCGCATTGCTCCCACTCGCCGCGCACCTGGAACCTTGATAATCAACTGGCACAAGTGGACAAGGCCCAGACTTCTTCGATCTGCTCATTGCTAATGGGATGCTGCCGGCTCGGTTTGGGAGATGTACAGACTTATCGGTGATGTTCAATGTTGGAATGATCATGCCGAGTGGTGATCCTGTGCATGCGGTTTGCCAAGGATGCCAATCACGTCAGCAGCTCGGGGCCGCGGCTGGCGTCAGACCTTTGACAGGCATGCTTTCACTTGACATCTGCAACGCGATCAAGGTTTTGCGTGCCGTGGTTCTTAACCTGCTTCGCCAGCAAGAATCCCATCAGGCAGCTATGCAGGGGACTTTCCGTGTCACGGAAGATCAAGCACATTGACTTGAGGATCGCCGTCGCGATGTTTCAGCGGCTCCGTGCCCGAGGCACGGGTTAAGATGATCATGATGATGATGATGTGCGTTACTGTCAGCCGCAGAATGAGCCGTTGATAGGGCAGCCGCACTTCGTCGTCTTCCTCGCACTTTCTGTGGCTGGCCCAGAACATGTCGGATCCGTGTGCGCAGGGATCACAAGCCACCTCGTGATTTTCGCATGGTTCCGAACGGCATACTCAGATGTTACTCATTGCGGAGAAGGCCGCAGCACCGCATTCACAAACATATGTTGAATACTGATGCGGACCGTGTTGAGCTGCTGCTCGTTAAGTTGCTGCTTGGATGGTGGTTCGCAGGACATTCGGAAGGTGGACACAAGCGATTTGCCAGAGATGCTAGGTACATTACGTGCCAAGCTGAGGACGCAAGATTCACATTGCTTATAGTGGAAAGTTGAGTAGTCCTGTCGTGTACCTGGTGTGTCTGTCCGAGATGTGCATTCCGACGACCACCTGCAAGGCACCCTGGCAGTTTTGAGACTCTTTGAGGGAGCTGAGTACGGCGCATCCCCGAGCACACACTCCACAACAACCGGTCAATCTTGTGATTTGAGGAACATAACTGATTTTGCTTGGGTCGCAGTGCTTACCAGACGGCCTTGCTTAGCAATTGGCAACTGATGGACGCGCTCCACTGGAAGAATTCCAGGGGTCTGAGTAACAGTCCAGGTCAAGCGACTTTCTCGGCGATTGAAGTTGAAGTTAGCGGTTTTTCTGCAAGATGTACGAGAAGAGCCTATTTGAATTAAAATGAAACAAACTCCTGGTTTAGTTCATGCGCCCATGATCGCCTCATCGCGTTTATTCAAACGTCACATCGAACAGAAGCAACTTCAGTACAACCATCGATACACAACAGTTCTTGCTCTTCAAATCGTTGACGGATATTTGCAGGAGTTTGGCAACTGGCTGCGGCCTGAGGGCCTGAGCAGTCAGAAGCAAGTTCTGGACATCAGTGCCCCACGGCCCCACCTCAGGCAGACGAACTCGAGACGGCTACGCCGTCAGGCCCAGCCCAGCAGTTTGTTCCGCCGACGAAACTCTTTGGACCAAGCATCCCAAACCCCTAAGAGAGAGCGAGAGAGAAAGAGAAAGAGAACCCTAAACCCCCTAAGCCTTTCTGGCAGGGCTCAGTTCTGCCATGGGTAGCATCCTCTCGGCACTGGACTTTGGCGACGGAGGCCTTCTTGAAGCCGTGAAGCCCTCCTTTGGCTTCGGCTTAGCTTGTGAGGAGGCTCTGCAAACAATTAACAGCCCTTTCCCTTAAACGGTGCTGTTGGGGGTTGGGCACAAGCTTCGCAGAAACTTTAGCATGTTGGCAACTGTTGCCTTCGCGTATTTATGTTTTGAGAGAGATTTCCTGCCCTCCTGTTTGCAGGCCTGTGAATTTAAGGAAGCCACCAAGAAACAAGAAAAGTAATAGTTCCCTCGGGTTGTAAGCGTGATAGCGACAGGTAGCTTTGTCGGCCTAGCCCCGGGCCCGGGAGAGCAGCTCAATTCCACGTAGCCAGGGAATGTTTAAGGCACCAAATGAATGAAAGTATGGAAACCTTGCGCCACTGAGTCTTGCAATGGACGAGTGCAAAAGCTTGACGCCTACTGCTTTCCGAAATGACATCATGGTGCAACATCAACTCCCCTCAGGGCTTCGAGCGGCCCATTGTGGATCTCCAGGCTGGCAAGCAAGCTGCCGATCCCCGACGAGCTTTACGCGTAGTGAAGGGGAACGGTGATTGTGGCCAGATGAGAACTCGCCAAGATCTGAAGAAAACGGAAGCACTCTATCGGGCGGGGTTTACGACCTGCATGGGCTGCCGACCCCAGAATGAATCATGTGGCGTGAGCTCTCAGGTCTGTTCAACTCCTGATCATGAACAGTTTTGATCATGTTTGGAAGGGGGTCAATGCAGAGGGTGTAGGCGGAAGTATGAATTTCAGCAGTCCAACTGTGAAATGGCACTTGGATTGCCATTGCAAGACATGAGAACAGGTTCCAGCGGTTCTTGCTTCTGGCCCGACTTTTGTGGCGTACTGGCTGGGATCAGGCTCCTGGGCTAAATTTGTCGCAGGATACCCCCCGTTTCCTTCATTTTGTGTCTCCGTTGCTTTCCGTTCCGTTACGTTTCCACTGTGTTGCATTGCATTGCGTTCCGCTGCATTGTGGTGCGTTCTGTTCCGCTCCGTGGGCAGAAAAAGAGAGTGTGAGATGCGTCTACGCAGGAGCCAAAAACTCACCGGCACTGTGTTGCATCGTCCATGAGAGGAACAATTACATGGCTCTGGTTCCGACGAAGCTCCCCTGCAACACATACGGACATACTTATGCTGCGACTCTTAACCCAACAAGCTGATAAGTGCTCGCACCGGTGCTCGCACGGCCGCTAGCCTGCTTAACTACTCAGGCTTTTGGTCTGAATGGATGGTGCTGGGTAC